CTCCATCAACATGGCTAACACTATTACACCTGCTTTGGAGATCCCCAGAGACTCTGCCCCCACCTAACTTACTGGCCCACCTAAGCTGTTTTTCCAAATGAATGGCTTGTCTAGGCTCATGCTTTATAACTTCCTAAATCCTATCAAACAAGCAACAGCTGGCTTCAGTGAGTGCCAGGCCCAGCACTAGCAGCAGCCAGCTTAGATCTGTAGCTTGTCTTCGCCTGGGAATCTCTAAGCCCAGCACAAGTAGCAGTTTTATAACTCAGGTGGGTGGCCCTGGGCAAAAACACAGGTGAGGGCTGAGCTTGGCCTTTACCACCTGGGAAACCCCAGGGCCTGCACACCCAGTGGACAGCTACAGACCCCATCGGAGAACCACCACCCTGCCTCTGCACAGCTGATCCTCCAGAGGGCAGAGGTTGGTGGTCAGTGGTCACAGCCAGACCTCGTAGCTGTCCAGCCTGGGTAAATCCCTCCCATTGATCTGCTAATAGCAACCAAGGGTCAACTACAAGAGGAGGATTTACTCATCCCACACAAAAGGCACTCTTTGAGTACCCAGCTAGGGTGATAGGGGAGGCTATGCCACTGGACCCTATAGGACACCTACTACATTAGGCCACACTACCAAGACACGGAGTCATAGCAGCTCTACCTAATACATAGAAACAAACACAGGGAGACTGCCAAAATGAGAAGACAAAGAAACATAGCCAAAATGAAAGAACAGATCAAAATTCCAGAAAAAGAGCTAAAGAAAATGGACATAAGCAATCTATCAGATGAAGAGTTCAAAACACTGGTTATGAGGATGCTCAAGGAACTTAGTGAGGACCTCAGCAGCATAAAAAAGACCCAGTCAGAAACAAAAAAATATGTTAATTGAAATAAGAAACAATTTGCAGGGAAACAAGAGTAGAGTGGAGGAAGTTGAGACTCATATCAATGATTTGGGACATAAGGAAGCACACACACAAAAAAACAAAAAAACAAACACCCCCTCCCCCAATCAATCAGAACAAGAAAGAAAAAGAATCTTTAAAAATGAGGGTAGTATAAACGCTTCTAGGACAACTTCAAGTGTTCCTACATTCACATCATAGAGGTGACCAACAGAGAAGAGAAAGAGCAAGAAATTGGAAATCTATTTGAAAAAGTGATAAAAGAAAACTTCCCTAATTTGGTGAAGGAAATAGACATGCAAGTCCAGGAAGCACAGAGAGTCCCAAACAAGATAGATACAAAGATGCCCACTCCAAGACACATCAGAATTAAAAGGCCAAAGGTTAAAGATAAAGAGAAAATCTTAAAAGCAGCAAGAGAAAAGCAGTTAGTTATCTATAGGGGAGTTCCCATAGGACTGGCAGCTTATCTCTCAAAAGAAACTTTGCAGGCTAGAAGTGATTGGCAAGAAATATTCAAAGTCATGGAAAGGAAGGGCCTACAGCCAAGATTGTTCTACCCAGCAAAACTATCATTTAAAATCGAAGGGCAGATAAAGAGCTTCCCAGACAAGAAAAAAACTAAAGGAGTTTATCATGACCAAACCATTAGTATACGAAATACTAAAAGGACTTAAGAAAAAGATCAGGCCTGGATGGTGTGGCTCAGGGGATTGAATGCTGGCCTACAGGTCACCAATTCAATTCCCAGTCTAAGCACATGCCTGGGTGGCAGGCCAAGTCCCCAGTTAGGGGCGCGTGGGAGGCAACCACACATTGATATTTCTCTCCCTCTCTTTCTCCCTCCCTTCCCCTCTGTCTAAAAATAAATAAATAAAATCTTTAAAAAAAACAAAAATAAAAACAATGAAATAAAAATAAAAAAATAAAAGGTGAGAAAAAAGAAAATCAAGATCAAAACTATGGATAATAAAATGGTAAAAAATACATATCTATCAACAATTGAATGTAAAAAACAAACTAAGCAAACAAGAACGTAGACAGAATCATGGAACGTTTTGATGGTTGCCAGATGGCAGGGTACTGCTAGGGAATACGTGAAGAGATGAGGGGATTAAGAAGTACAAATAGGGCCCTGGCTGGTGTGGCTCAGTGGATTGGGCACTGGACTTTGAAGCAAATGGTCACTAGTTCAATTCCCAGTCAGAGCACATGCCTCGGTTGCAGGACAGGTCTCTGGTGGGGGGCATAGGAGAAGCAACCACACATTGATGTTTCTCTCATTCTCCTTCCCTTCCCTTTCTCTAAAAATAAATATAAGATCTTTAAAAAAAAAAAAAAAAAGAAGTAGAAACAGGGCTCTGATTGGTGTTGCTCAGTGGATTGAGTGCCAGCCTGAGAATAAAAGTGTCACAGGTTCGATTCCCAGTCTAAAGCACATGCCTGAGTTGTGGGCCAGGTCGCCAGTAGGGGGCGCTCTAGAGGCAACCACACATTGATGTACCCCTCCCTATCTCCGTCCCTTCTCCTCTCTAAAAATAAATAACTAAAATTTTTACTAAACATTTAATTTTAAAAAGTATAAATAGGTAGTTACAGAATAGCCATGGGATATAAAGTACAGTATAGGAAATGGAGTAGCCACAGAATTTATATGCATGACCCATGGACATGAACAATGGTGAGGGGACTGTCTGAGGGAGTGGGTGCTGGGTGGAGGGGGGCAAAGGGGGAGAAATCGGGGCAACTATAATAGCATAATCAATAAAATATAATTTAATTAATACATTAATTAATTAAAGTAAAATCAATTTTTAAAAAAAGACTAAGCACCACTGGCTTCCTGAGTATCAAGCCCCATGTCTACTAAGGTCTTTGGCTAAGGGTCACCTGAACTGACTGTTACCAAGGTTAAGCGAAGTCCAAGATCTGGGGCACATGGAAACGGAGGATTGGGGGGCAGAGGGCTGAAGAACAGAGAGGCTGGGGCTGGAGGGATCCTAACTCTGGGCAGCGAGCATCCAAGGCCTTCCAGGCTTCAAGGGCCAGATGCCTGGGGCTGACCACCTGGGCCCTGTTCCCACTAATACAGAGCTTTGGAGGGAGGACAGGCTAGTAAAGACACACCTGGGTTCAGGGCCCTACTCGACTCTGTGGATCTCACTTCCTCCTCCATAACACAGCCTCCTGGCAGGTTTGTAGGAAAGACTGAACCAACTGAGTTGGCCTGGCACAGGGGTGACACCCCATCACTGCAGCCATTTCCTCTCTTTACCCTGCACTTCATCACCAGAAGCCCATGTGGATGGCAAACCACTTCCTGAACCCTGGCTTTCCAAGGCGAATGGAAACTCTGAAAGGGACCACATCTTGTATTTCCCAAGCAACCAGCAAGGGCTCCTACGGAAACACCCTCAGGCAGAATTGTTCACAGCACGCAGTGTGGCTGAGTGAGTCACCCCTCCCAAAGAGATGCTCCCGTTAAGCCAGCCACTCCACTCCAGTCAAGGCCTGAGATGAGCACCGGTAAGCCAGCGTTTCCACCCCAGGCTGCCCAGGAGGGAATGGCAGGGGTGGGGGTGGGTGGAGAAGAAGGCTTTGAAGTCCTGAGGCTCCACCCACCCAGACCAGCCAAATCAGGATCTCCGGGGCTGAGGCCCAGGCACCAGCATTTCTCACAGGGTGTCTTTCAGTGCCACTTGAGGGTCTTTGTGTTCGAAGACCAGAGTGTGTGTTTCAAATTCAGATTTTAGGCATAAACCCAAAACAAGACGAATCAGACCCTGGGGATGGGCCCCAGGAGTCTACACTTCTAACCCCTTGCTGAGGGGTTTCTTTCTTTTTATTTTCTTATTACTATTTTATTTGTACAGTGAGGTGCAGGAAACCAGAGTGAGGAGCAAGCGGGCCCAGCATTTGGGTGCACCTGGGCAGGTCCAGGAGGTGGAGGTGGAGCAGCCTGGGAGAGAGGAGAAGGCACCTTCGCTGGAGGAGGGCTCATTTCAGGGGCCAGGCAGGTGGGGTGTGGGGAGGAGCTGGGAGGCTCCTCGGGAGAGGTGGGACTGCATTATGCTCATCCCTTTAAGGATGCTTCTGTAACTTCTCAGCTCAGGCTGGAAAGACTGGTGCAGGGACTCACACCATCCTCCAGGGCAACTGGCCTCGGAGCCAGAGGCTGTGGGGCGGGCTTTCAGTCCAGGAAGGCTCCTGGAGCTCTGGCTCCTAGTCCAGGGACCTGATGGGACTGTCCCTAGGGCTGCAGAGACCCAGAAATGGGAATGAAAGAGGCCAGGGTCTGACTGGCCTTCAGGACAGACTGAGGGGTTCCTGGCAGCCAGACACAGGGCCACAGCCATGGCTCAGGTGACCCTGCAACCATCCCTGAACTGGGTCTGGCTTCAGAACTTTTGGCTTCTCCAAAAGCAGCTCTGAGGGAGGACAGAGAGCAATGGACTGGCAGGGAGACCTGTCAGGAGGCCACTGTAGTGGGTGGGAGCTAGGGGATGAGCTTCGGAGGTGCTAGGAGCCGTGGATTCCAGAGCGGCTGTTGTATACTGAACATGGGGCTAACAGACTTGATAATGGAATGGAGGCAGGTGTGAGGAATAAGGGGGTAAAAGAGACTCCTAGGTTCTCCAGGTGAGCTTCTAGGTTGGCCGCACCGCTGGAGGAAGGAAGATAAGAATTCTCTGTCAGGCACCATAGGGGAGATGTCGTGTGAAGCGCTGAGTCCCGAGCTAGAGTGGGGGTCAGGGAGGGGAGGTCAGGCTGAAGACACCCACTTCAACGGCTTGTAGATGGAGCTGACAGCTGTGGGACAGATGGGATCCCTGGGGACACTGGGAAGGGAGGGGCAGGGAGTGAGCACTGAGCCCTGGTTCTCCACCTGGGAGAGGTCTGGGGAAGGAGGCCGAACCAGCCCAGGGGACTGAAGAAGAGGAGCCACAAGGCGAGAGTGAACCAGGCGAGTGGGGCGAGCGGCCAAAGGGAGCTCAGACAGGCAGGGATGGGTGAGGGCCTCCCTGGGCCAAAAGCTACAATCCAAGGTAAGCTAGGGACCCACCCCAAAATGTTTAGATTGACAAATTGGAGGTCATGGTGACCTTGACAAGAGAGCTTCAGCAGGGTGGCCGGGACTTAGGCCTGATAGAGTGAGGACAGGAGTGAATGGGACCTCGAAGGTGCGAGGACAGACAGAGACAAATCAACACGAGGAATGTTTACAACGGAATGGAGAAATGGAGCCACAGATGAGCCTGTGCACCTGCAGAGAGAAGAAGGAGAATCCTGCGGTCACTGCTGGGAGGGGTCAGAGCTGCAGAGCAGAGAGACGGGGCACTGCTATGTTAGTGGCGCAGCCCCAGGTGTTCTCTGAGATCGGAAGGAAAGAGAGAGCAGGGATACTCCCTCTGCGTCCACCAGGGCAAGCGGTAGCAGCGGCGGGGCAGCGGCAGTGGCAGTGAATCTGAATGCGGGGGTGGTGGATGTACTACTGCTGGAGATTTCAAGAATTTTGAATACCGGCTTAGATGAGGAGACCCTGTCCATTTGTGTATGGCTTTGTGAACAGGGAATTACCAGAGCTTTATCATCAGTTATAAGGGAACTTCTCAAGGCTACCGAAGCACTAAAGGCTGCTGAAAATATAAGCTGACTTTCCGGAGAAATCCTAATAACATGTAAGCACCGCAAGAGGATTTGAAGGTTGCCTTGTGGTCAAGAACGTACAGCAAAATGACTGCCCGCAGCAGTGTAGCAACATTTTTTTTTAAGAATTATAAAACCATAGCTTTATAGATCAATGAAAAGCAGCTTACTCAGAGAACTATCAGATGTGTTTCTGTCACATCTTACTTTTCGAAACAACTCCAATGTTCTGGCATTATTACAGGGCTCATATTTACATGTTCTTTATTTTTAGATCTGATACTTCAGTTTCGAAGCGGTCTGCTGATCAGATGGCACGTCTGCTGTGCCGGGTTGAGGAGGAGCGGAGCCCATTAGGAGCAACGTACTAGTTACGACTCGCTGACATTTCCATGATAAACTTTAAATTGTTCATGCAGAATAACTGCATTTATGTTTCACTGGAGTGAAGGTTGACAGAATTTCAACCACCATTTGTGAATTTTGATTTAGAGTCATTACATATATCAGAATCTTGTTTTTTCTTTTTTAAGGGCACAGAACCCACTTCTTATAATCTGCTCTTCAACAAAAAAATATTTAGTTTTTAAGCATAAAGTTTGTCTGGCAGTTAATAGTAGGAACCAGATCAATTTTCTACTGGTTGAAAAATAAAACTTTTAGGAACTTAGACTTTAAAAGTAATGATAGTACCTAGCATAGTATTGTTTGTCATTTTAATCATTTAATGGGAATAGTAATTAAGAATGTTTTTTTCCCTTAGTTTTCTACTCCATAATTAAACAAGAAGTCCCTCCAACCCCCAGTGTTCTGGAGGCTTCTGGAGACCCCGCCCACTTGGCCAAGTTTATGTTTTGGTGGAAACTCAATGTTTCCATTGTCTGACTTGAGAGTGTTAAATTATTCATCCTAATTAACTAGGGCACACAGACTCTCTCCCAAGGATTTTCTTTACCTCTTCTTTGTTGGAGAAGCCAAGAATGAACAGGGTTTAGAGGGAGGGTAGATTGCCTTCCATGCAGTCCCTACATCTGAAAGGCAGCCCCTCTGCTGGACGAAATGACAGCCAGGGCAGCCCCAGGCTGGCCAGAGCTCCCTCACGGGCCTTTCTCAGAGGCTGCAGAGCCAGTCAGAGCTGTACCTTTGCAGAAGCAGCCGCCAGGGTTCCAACGTGAGTCTAATAACATCCTTCCCTGACAGGTCAGGTGGTGCTTCCAGGAACGCCTGTGCATCCCCTCAGCTAAGATGTGCGTTCCCACTGCGCGCCTGGTGGTTTGTGGGGAGGGAGCCAGTCTCGGCGCGTGGCCACGGCAGCCTCTCAGAGGTGGTGACATCTGAGCTGAGACTTAAGTGGACATTCGACCATGAGCGCCTCTAGGGGAATGGGGTTCCAGGAAGAGGAAACGAGGGGAAAGATGCGTGTGGTGACGAGCTTGACTATTCAAGGCGACTATTCGGGTGACAGGACCGAAAGTTATAGACATTTTTATGACTTAATATATGTTGCTGAATTGTTTTCCAAAAGGAAGAGATAGAAGATCATGCGTCCAACTGGGAACAGTCATTAGCCCTGGGGCTGGAATCCAGAGTTGACAGAATGGAAGAAGGGACTTCAAAGTTTCCATCTTCAGCATCATTTGAATTTTGTACTGAGAATATATATCATTTTTATAATTTAAAGTGACCTAATGTTTTAGAACATTGGTAATAAGCAGGTGGTAGATGTAGCATTTTAGTGTTTTAAATATATATATGTGTTCTATAAACTCCCTTGTATGTATGAAATATTTCACGCTAAAAATCTTAGTTTTACCAACTGTATTAATTTATCTACCACCGGGTAGCTCTAAATGTGACAGTTGGAACTCATACACACAATGATTGATGATTATTACTCTAACTTTTTGTTTTTTAATCTGGGTGTAGATTCTGGTTTGCTCTGATGGTAGAAAAGCCACTTTATCCTCTGTAAGTTTCAGGGGTGCTTTTGTTTGTTTGGTTTTTTAGAGAGAAATATCAATGTGAGAGTGAGAGCAACATTGATCGCTTGCCTCTCCGTTGCCTCGCTGATCAGGGACCAAACCCATAACCCAGGCACGTGCCCTGACCAGGAATCAAAACCAAGACCTTTCGGTTTAGGGGACAACACTCCAACCAACCGAGCCACGCCGGCCATGGCTGTAGGTTTCAGCGTTTGGTCACATGAGAAAAAAGATGTGACTAACCTCTCGATTTACTAACAGAATTTTTCAGGGAATTAAATAAAATAGTTACGGGGAAGGCACTGCACATTTTAAAATGCAACAGAATAGAACAGAGGAAAGAGAATCAGGAAGGAATTTTTATCTGGAATGAATTCCCACATCTTACTAAAGTCAGCAGCTTCTCAATGCTGGACATTCCCATTCACCCTGATCTTTCTAGTCTCTAAATTCTGTATCGGGTATTCTTTTTTTTTTTATTTTTTAAAGATTTTATTTATTGTTAGAGAGAAGGGAAGGGAGGGAGAAAGAGAGGAAGAGAAACATCAATGTGTGGTTGCCTTTTATGCTGCCCATACTGGGGACCTGGCCCACAACCCAGGCATGTGCCCCAACTGGGAATCGAACCAGTGACCCTTTGGTTTGCAGGCCGGCACTCAGTCCACTGAGCCACACCAGCCAGGGCTGTCTCAGATATTCTCAAACCTAAAGCTACACAACATGACACTTTAACTTTTTGGACTGCAGAAATGACGGCCTCCCCAATAGGAGGGTCCAGGGCAACCATGATGTCCTGATGTCGGGATTTTAGGCATTAGTGCGCAGGTAGAGGAGAGGAGATAACTCAGTATCTTTCCAGATACGAAAGTGACAGGTGTGAGTTGGGTGTGTTGGGAAGAGCTTCACATTAGGTTGAGTCTGGGTATTTCCATGACTAGCTCCAAACATGTCAAGTCTCTTTATCTTCCTGATTGCAGTTTCTTGAGCTGTGGAGTTGAAGAAATGGGGCTGTGAAAATTACCCTGCTTGCTTCTTTATGGTCATTTAGGGATTTGGTGAACCAATGTACTTTAAATAAAAAAACTTTAACCTTGGTAAGGCTTTGCAGAATAAACTCTCATTACATAAAACCATGGAGATTCTTGGGGCTATTTGTTACTGCCGCACAACCCAGCAGCTCCTGGCTAACGCAGAATGTGAGTCTAAGTTTTCCCTCCTCTGGGAGAATAATACCTGCTTCACCTAGTTACAGCAAAAGATTGAATGAGAAAGTGTGTCAAGCTCTTAGCTCAAAGTTGGCTCCTGCAATGAGCTCACTAAACAATTGATTCTTGCCCTCCCCTAGCAAGATGGTCACTCTTGGCAAAGGCAGACAAGGCTGCCTGACCAGACCTTGCCACGGACCCCAGGGGCATAGCAGTGAGGTCATAGTTCCTCCTCAGGGAAGCAGACACACCGCCCTTATTAAGCAGCGGGCACCGGTGGTTCTGTCTCTCCACACTCCCCAGCTCTCTCCGGGGCAGTAATTAGCAGCTGTCGAGAGACGGGGCACTGACAGCCTCCGGCATCCACCTTCCCCACCTTCCCCACCTTCCGTTTGCAGCAAGCTGTGGCAGCTCCACTTCCCCAACACTGCCACCGACTGGGGCGAGTGCAGGAGCCGGATGCTTGGAGGGGGAGCCTTCCCGCCTCATTCGCCATAAACCGGCCCCTCGGTGCCAAGCAGCACAAAAACCTTGGGAATCTCAGCATCCCTCAGCGACTTTGAACCTCACCGGGTCCACGTCTGGGCTCCAACGACAACAACACTTAGAAGGTAAACACAAAAATAATAACAAAACCCTGAGCTGTGGGTGCCTTCTATCTTATTTTAGGTAAAGTTCAATGAAATGGAGGTGGTGGTGTTAGAAGCAAAACGTGAACATGAGAGCTCGATATGGAGAAGCAAAACCCGTACAGAGAAGCTCCTCGGCCTCCTAACGATGGGCCGGTTTGTCAGAGGTGTGGCTCTGCGTGGGGGCTTTGCGACCAGGCCGACACTTTCGGCTGCATTAGGAATGTAATTTCTTGAATCCCACAGGAGGGACAGAAGAGGTTAAAGAGCCCATAGAAATTTAAATCAGGGCCATAGCACTATTTTCCAGAGCCAGTGACAGAATTGCTCACTGGGACACCTTCACCATCAATAACCCGTGCCCCCCCCCCCCGCCATACACTCACACATAGACAAACACACACACCCGTCCAGTGATGGGAGAGGAGCTTAGGAATGCTTGTGGACTAATTTTTGAAGACTCAAAAAAATTTCTAGTCTACTCTCAAAGTCTAGGCCTGGCCGTGGACGGCCCCGGTCCTACGTCAGAGCCTCTGCTGACCCACAGAAGCTGCGGCCAGCCGAGTAACACACTGTCCCAGACAGTTCAGGAAAATGGAGCCTGCTCCCCACGCTCCACCTTATGAGAAATAGATGGCTCCTTTCTGACTTGGCAAGCACCTCCAGGAATCCATCCCTGTCCCTTCTTTGTTCCAAAGCAAATGCTTGCCTTGGCTTGTGCTCTCGTGTCCAGACAGGCTCCACAGGAGGGGGGCTCCTGAGGCAAGGACCTGGGACAGGAATGGAACGCAACACATAGACTTACACGGGAGCTGTGAGCAGAGCAGTGGGACGGCTCTCACGCAAACATCCCAGACGTTCACGTGCACATTCCCTGTGTCCTTCAAAACAGCCACCTAGCCAGGTTATAGATTTACCTCAGCAGTGACAATAGTAACAGGGTATCAACCTTCATGGAGCATTTGCCAAATGTTAGGCTCTATAAGAGCTTTCTAAGTAGTTCCCACTTGATCCTCACAGTCCTGTGAATAGATGAAGAAATTGAGGCTCAGGGAGATCAAATCTTGTCACTACTGGGTGATAAAGCTGGGAGTTGAACCCTGGCCCAAAGCCCTCTCCCCTCCAGGGTTAGAATGACCTCAGAACTTGGAATGAATGCTGTCCCATCAGATTCTGACCAATGGTGCGAGG